GGGGGTTGCACCCTCAACCCCCCTTTCTCCCCAGCTCTGCGGTCCTGCCCTCAATTTTAGGGTCCCCTCCCTCAATTTTGGGGTGTCCCATCCCTCAGCGTTACCACAGCAACGGGCAGCGCTCCTCTACCCTTTCGGTGGGTTTGGGGAGTGGGCGGGGGTTACAAGGACCCCCTTACTCTCAAAAGGGGGGGTGGCTGCTGCCTTCTGCACCGGCTCTGGGAGGGGGTCACCCTATGGCCACCCCCACCCCCGTGAGTTTGAGTGCCCCCCAAAAAAACGGGGTGGGGGGGGTGGAGGGGTGGCAGGGTTTGTGTTGTCTGGCTCCTTCTCACACCAGATTGTGCTCCCCGTGCCCCACCGTCCCATACGGGGTGTCCTGTTAAGGGGGGGCTTTACCCGGTAAATGCCCCGTGTCGGTTGCCTCGGGGTGGGCATCGGTTTTTCTTCCGTTGGTTTTTCACCCGCTCCCAGTCTCGAATCTTTCCCCGTCTCTGGTGTGTGTGTATAAACACGTGGATGCATCCCTGTCTGTGCCTTTTTTTAGCCCGCATGGGAGGGATCCCTTTTAGTTTTTGTAAAATTTGCGCTTTTCAAGTCTGGCTTTAACAGAACGCCTTTGAGGATTTAAGCACGCCGAAGATGAATCTTTGATGCGCTCCTCTTTTTATTTTTTTAATGGGTATGCAGCAAGTGAGCAAAAAAGGAACAGAGTCATCGGGCTGACCTCGCAGGAATGTAAAGCTTTGCAAGCTTTACAAACCCCCCAAATCCCTCTGTCTTCTGTGCCATTCCGATAGCAGATTGGACTTGATGGTCGTGCCCCTGTATTGCAGGGCTAGCGGCTTGCTTGTGGGACTAGTAACTATCTTAATTTAAACATTACCCACAGTCATAGTGCTTTGACATCGTGGGCAGGAAGATAGTATGGGGTAGAAGAAAACCCAAGTCCTGCAATTGCAGATGATCTTGGTTTCTAACAGCTTATCCGTGCTGACAGCAGCTTGGAGTATCTGTTGGGCAGCAACTTTCTCCGCTTGTGTCTTGTTTAGCCTTTCTTCTCCGCAGCGGGAGGTATTGGAAGGGGACTAGCACCAAGGGGAATGTGCCCCTCTTCAAGGAGTCCCTTTGCTGTGGAAGGAGTTGCCTGTATGGGAGGAGCAGTTGGTGCACTTTTGGTTTTTGCACTAGATTCCAGTGCGATTTGCCTTGACCCTGATGGTATACGGAGGACACGGAGGCCGTCTTCTAATCCCATTTTGAAAACTGTTCTCTCCTTTGCACCCTTGACTACAGGAAGGCGGTTGGGTTTCCATCTCATCCAACCTCATAACAGTGGCTGGTAAACTGAAATCAAAACCCAAATGTCTGTCGCTGTCAAGGACTTTTAGTTCTGCATTATCATTTATGCTGATACTTGCAGATCTGAAAACGAGTTCACAACATAGCTTGCTTGTTTGCAAATCTGTAGATGACCAGAAAGTGCAGCGTAAGGACACCGGCCCTGCCTTGATGTGGTAGGGGATGGGGGTGCATCTGCACAGGACTTGGTGTTTAGGGTGGGTCCCGGGTGCTTGGATTGCGCTGGGCACGTGGGCAGCAGATTGCAGGCAGCTGGTAGAGGTGCCAGGAGGAATCTGGGTGCTGCAAAGGGCAGGTGGGGCAGAACTGGTACTTGAGGGGGAAATTTTCGAGTCACTGAAAACAAGTGGTGAAGCAGGGGCTGGTGAAAGTGCTCAGTTTGCATGCCCAGAGACAACGATGGGAGAACTGAGGCAATTGGGACCTTCCAGGAACATAGCTTTTGTATGAGGGAGTTTGTGTGTCGCGGTGGGTCCCTCAGGTTCCATCCCTGTTGTTGCCATCGCCTTTGCCTGCTGTTCCTGGGTGCCCTTTTCTCCTAGAGCCTGGGGGAACAAACAAGTGGACATCCGTCTGCCACATCTGCCGCTGCTGACCGAATAAGCAGGTCTTTCCACAGCCCAGCTGGATGTGGACTACCCCACATGGGCTGGGCAACCGTGCAAGGGCTGCGTAGGGGGTGCAACGTATGGCAGACCTGCAGCTGTAGCTGTGGCTGCTGAGCGTTTTTTGTTCATCTGAAGTGAAGTCAGGAGCAGCCGAGGCTGCAGCTCCTGCAGCGATGTTAGTCTGATTGCACGGTGAGGTGTGCGCTATGCTGCATGTGCTGGGCAAATACTGAATTCTGTAGCAGCAGCGGGAGTGCAGAGCCTGGACGCTCAATTCTGTTGTTTCTAATCATTTAACATCAGGTCTTGTGATGCTACACTGAGTCCACGCTTTGCATTTCATTACAGGCTTTGCAACAAACCTCTGTCAGAGAAGGCAGGAGTTTGAAAACCTTGAAGTTATATTACTGCCTCTGTGTTTTAAGTTCATATTGTAATGATTTTTCCTGTGGCACAATGGCATCTAAGATTTTGTGTTAACGGGAGAGAGACTGGGATGAAAACCGTTCTGCGGGGGAAACAGTATTCAAAATGAGCTTGTTTTTCAAGCAGCCGCCTGTTGGGACACGAAAGGAGGATGTGGAGAAGAGCGGGCCTTGGTGTGTGGTCAAGTACTGTGGAACTGCCTTGGTCTCTTCTGAGATTTCCACCGGTTACAAGTTCCCCTCAGGGCTTCTGGTGACAGGACAGGCCTTCCTAGTTGAGGAGAGGCTTGAACTTGGCAGGAAGTCAGAGGATTCATGGAAGAGGGGCATGTGTTTGGGGAGGGAGTGTTGCTTCCTTCCCTTTTCTTTTTGGTATAATAAATCTTACCCCATTTCTAAACCGTTTCTCCTACAGTAAGCTGTACGGGCTGGGTGGAAGCGGCGCCTGGAGCGGGCTGTGCCTGCATTGCCCTAAATTGTGTGGGTGGGTGTTGAGGTGGAGGGCCTCATGCGGATGTGGTGTATGCTTCCCAGATGATGGCTGAGAACTGGACTGTGGGAGGGACATCCTTAAAGCAGTGCTCTTCGACGCGCTCTTCTTTGGTGGGTGATTTACTGAAAGCCCTCTCAGCTTGCGGGGGGGGAGGAGCGTTGGTAAAATTTGGAAGGCTGCCTTGGAGCGTCCATGGAGTTTCCTTATGTGAAAAGGCTGTGTCTAAACTTAGGGAAGAATAATACTGAAGAGTCATAGTACTGTTGTGCAATTGTGTGTTTTGAGTGAAACACAAGGTTGTGTAGATGGTGTTTTGCACTTGTGCTGGTCTCACTTTCTCTTCTGCCATTCGCATAAATGATTTTCTGAATTCTTTCTTCAGCGCATGTAGCTCCTGGGGGTTTTGACCATAGTGCTTCTGAAATGCAAGTACTTCCTTTTAGTCATCCCAGAAATGTGACTCAAACTGTCTCACGATCTGGGCATAACTACTACATACCAGAAGGGAGAGATGGGTACCTTTTTCTGCTCTTTCTTTCTTCTGTGCATTGAAATATTTTCCTTTGAGGAAGGTTACATTATGTAAAGTTCTCCCTACCACCTGTAAAAGCTGAGAGTGATCTCCTCGCTGCACAGCTGCGAGAGAATCAACACTTTTTCTCTCGGTTGCCTCCCACTGAAAAGTAAGAATTTTCCATGGATTTTGTTGTTTGGTTGGGGTTTTTTTCTCTCCAATCTCTTGATCAAGTTGTGGGTGTGAACGGCAGGATGCAGTACCCTCCCGTCTTGAAGGAGCCTCATGAGGAGACAGCACCATGGGGAGGCTGTCTAGAGGAAGAGTGGTCTTGGGGGGAAAGTTTTGTTGGAAGGAGGTCTGCTGAAGCAAGAGAAGGTAAGGGTTGGTGCTCCCATTCAGAATAGATTTTTGGTTTAGGCTACCACCTTAATTGTCACATACTTTTAAAAGTTCCTGCTAAGCTTTGAACTGTAAAGTGAAGTTGAGTATATTGAGACCGAACTGCTCATGGAGCACGTGTGAGCTGGTGTCCCTTGGAGATACAAAGGAAGCCTGTGGAACAGACCTGGGAAAAGATGATGCTAGAGATCCAGGGTTGTTTACTGGGCACTGCCTGAGCATTTCATATGTCGGCTTCCCTCTGTAGCTTGCCTGCCGGGTGAGAAGACATGAAGGGAATCCACACACATCCCCTGGACTCGAACAGAAGGTTGCTGGTGCAGGGATGTTACTGCTCAGTGTGCTGTGGGATGGCCTCGCAGCATGCGGACTTTCACACCAGCCCTGGTGCGGACATCCCCAGGGGCAATGGAAACTGACTGGGGTGAGGCTGCGGATTCACAGCAGCTGAGTGGATCCGAACAGTTTGCTCATGCTCTGGGCTACGTGCTCCTCTCCCTGTGCCAGCTCCCATCTTCTTCTACTGATCTGTCTCGCTGTCTCTTTCCTGTAGGTTAAAGAGTTGCAGTGGTTTGCAGAGGGGTCTACAAGCATGTAAAGGTAACGGTACTGATGTGTGACCAGGAGTGACACAGCGAGGACTGCTGGGGTGCGAAGCCACTCCAGCGATCTGCATGTTTGCACCCCTATGTGGTGGTAATTCCCTCTCCCAGCTGAGTCCTGAGGGGATTGTGACCTGTGTGAAGTCCACAGATGGCTGTTCTTCATGAGGGTTTGCTGCAAATGCGCTCAGAAGGGAGAAGCTTTGCCTCTTAGTATGAAGGATGCGTGCCTATGCTGGGAACTTCTCTTGGCCAGCGAGAGCACGTTCTGGCCTGGCTTGAGCAATGGCAACTACGTGCCATATCGGCAGAGAAAGGTGGACAACTTGCTAAAGTAATAATTATGATGCTACATAATTAAAAATGCTAATTAATTCAGGTAGGGAGAGATGTTAATTTAAATGTATCTTAACCTCCTGATCTATTGGTAGGCTAACATTTAGGAGAGAGCTCGTTTGTTAGGACAACTGCTGGTGTGTTCATTGGAAGCTGACTGTAGATTTTCAGTACATTTGGAACTAGGAAAATGTCTAATTACTCAGATGACTAGGTACCTTTCAGAAGTGCTTATTTGGAGGCTTTGTTTTGACTTTGTTTGAGTAGCATGGAATGCCTAACATTTTACCACTGAAGGAAATTGAATACAAGTGAGCGCAGGGGATAGGCTTTAAAAAGAACGCTAAGGCAATGATGAATATTTGAGATGCATGAGGAAAAGCGTCCACAACTGAGCAATGGTGAATAAATGCTTGGGGTAAAGCGCAGTGGCCAAAACCAACCCCTTTATTCTTAGAGCCAGGAGATCCTATTTCTCCTTCTTAGTCTTCGTGGAAGAGATCAAGACCAAAATAACATTACTCCGGGCAAGATCAAGTGGTCCCTTAGTGCTCCCCATGTAAATCCTATCACAGCAGTTACTAAGTTTGTCACTTTGTATGATAGCACTGAATGTAATTTGGACTCTTATATTCAGTGGGGAAAAAAATTCTGTCTAGCGGCGGAGTGGTTTGTTGGAGTCAAACTTCCAGTTAGACCTATTTTGAGTCGTCTTTTAGCTGACATAAGGTGAAGCTTGTCCATGTCAAGAACAGCTCTGAAAAAGTCTGAAAATCTCAAAGCTGCTAGGGAACAATCTCTGGATGTGGTTGTACGTGGTTTTCATCTGGATGCTTTTCACATGCCCAGTGCAGAAGGGTGTTGGAAGTGGAAGGAAAGGGCTGCTCTTTCGAAGGGCCTATTTCCCTGCCTTCCACCAAGTGGAGGTGTCTAGGGGACCTTCCTCTTGTGTTCCCTGGTAGGTCTGGCCCGTGCTCCTGCAGCCCTGTGTGGCAGGAGGCGACCCTGCGGCTTCTTGTCCAGGAAATAAAAGCTCTATCAAATGGAGTTGTTCATACTCCACCTTTCATCAGCTCTGAGCATGTGGATGATTTCTGTGGCGAGCTTGTGGCTGTATCAAATTAGCTATGAAATGATTTGCATAATAGATTAATCAACCAGCAACAA